ATGCTCCAAAGCATGATCAAATGCAAGCTTAAACTCAAAAACATGGTAAATTTCTAGAGTACAACCACAATATGGACATGCATGCAAGGATTTCATGAAAACAACCTCAAAATTCTATGATATGGACATGCATGCATGAATTCACTCTCAAATCAACACTTTGAGCTAATTCTTGACTCTGATCACCAATTGAACATAATTTCAATGAAACTATCATGAACAATGCATGTAACAACTTAATTTCATAATCAAGAGAATGAATTTCCTACCTTAAGTCTTGAATTCCAAATGTAGAAGCCTAATTCCTCAAGTCTCGTTCAAATTCTTCTAAATTTCAAGCCAAACTCTTGTTGAATCTATTTTCCTTCTAACTCTCTCTCTCTCTCTCTCTCTCACAGTTTTGGTCTAGAAGATGAAATGAAGAATGGTGCCAAACAAGTGTAAAGTGTGAGAAGAAAAGGCCTTGAATTAATCCACTTAGTGGCAAAAGTGTAAATACTCTATATTCAATTAATCCAACATTATTTAATCTAATTTAATCATTCCAAATCGGATTTTAATTAAACCTACCATAAAATCACATAAATCTTAATTAGTATATAACACTAATCAATTTCTGATTCGACCGCCGATAAGGCTTTCAATTCGCAATTCGAAATCAAAATATGAACAAATCATTCAGTAACAAACATATAGAAATGCATTCTACATAACACACTCATGTAATCAAATTAGAATTTCATTTTAATCAATTACTTATCATGCTTAAACATAATTTAACGTTAATCAGAGGTGAGGGTTGTCACAACACTATTCTTATGTTTTTATCTATGCTTTAAGTCCCTATAGCTTGGAACTCGTGTCACTTTGATCCCTGACTTTTCAATTATAACACATTTGACCATGAATATTGAATCTTGTTCCAGATAAGAACAATTGAAAATATTATTGCTTAATTTCACAAGCAAAAACGTCAACTTGATAGTATATAAACTAATTTGATAAAAATAAATGTCAAAAAATTATTTTTAAATTTTTAAAAATTATTTTTAACCACAAAAGATAAAATTATGTAAAATTGATAAATCTTTTAAACATTTATTTTTTTTTACTAAATTAATTTTTATTATGTGTTTGGATGATGATTATGTAATGGGTGGTTATTAGAAAATTAATGTGTAATCGATATATTTAATATATGAAACGTTTTTAGTTTTGGATTTTTTGATTTAATGGATTGGTTTAATAATGATATCAAAGTTGTCGCCATATTTGACTTTTATAAAAAACACAAACTAATTTAATGAAAATAAAAACAATTATCCATTAAATGATCATCATCCAAACACATAATTAAAATTAATTTGGTAAAATAAATAAATGTCTAAAAGATATATTAATTTTACATAATTTTTTCTTTAGTGTGTAAAAATAATTTTTACAAATTTAAAAATATTTTTTTGGATATTTATTTTTGTCAAATTAATTTATATTTTATCAAATTGATGATTTTGCCTTTGAAATTAAGCAATTATATCTTCAATTATCCTCATATGGAACAAGATTCAAAATTGAATGTCAAATGTGTCACAATTGAAAAGTCATGGATCAAAGTGACATAAGTCTCAAACTATAGGGACCGTTAGTGTAATTTGTCCTTTAAACTTTTTTGTATATTATTTTTATCTTCTTCTTTTTTTTCTTTTTTCTCCTCTTTTTTTTTTTTTTTTTTGGGGGAAGATTGTTTAGGACCTTTCTTACACTTGATGCTGCTTCTAAAAAATTTATTGGAACCACCTAAAAAAAATAAAAAATAAGAAGGTCTTGGTCTCTCGTGTAGCTTGTTTGCAACGCTATTTTTTGGTATTAATATCAAAAAAAAAAAAAAAAAAAACTTAAGGACAGCTCTTCTTTTTAAATTATTTATTTTAGAGTACTTATGTCAATGTCAATTGTGATTGTGGGGTTGTTTAAAGGTTTTGATAACAGGTTTGCTTGGTCTTGCCTTTTTTTTTTTTTTTTTTTTTTTTTTGTGTGTGTGTGTGTGTGTTTTTTTTTAAAGATTTTTTTAGTTTCTTGAAGACCTTTTTGTTATTGATGACAGTTTTGCTCAAAGAGCAAGACACTTTTTTTTTTTTTTTAGAAAAGTTATTAGGCAATTATATTAAAATAAAAATTAACATCATATAGACCAATAAAAGAAAAAAACAACAAAGTCCCAAAGGACTAAATAAGAAATCATACTGAAACTAGATCAACAAATTATAAAATTTGCAAAAAAACCATCTTAAGAGCAAGTCTAATTATGGTTGTTAAACACTGACCAGCAAAGTTCATTACTTCAAAATACATTGATTTTAAATATAATATAGCTGAAGTGATTATTTAATTAATATGAATATTTAGACTTCTTATCAATGACCTTCGTGATTAATTGATTGTGGATAATTGTTCACTGACCTTAGTGACTAAGTTATGTACTGATAATTTTTCCAAATGTGTGTTCCAGGTTTCACAAGGTGTTTCAAGTTCAAAATGTGTGTGATTTTTATTTTTGTTGGGTAAATTACAAACACATCCCTAAGGTTTATTTAAATTATAAATTACCTCCTGTGATTTTAAAAATTACATTATGCTCCTTAAAGTTTCTAATTTCATAACAAATAGGTCATTTTATTAATAAATCATCAAGTAAATTAACAATTTTTAATAATGTTAAAATCTTATTTCAATTAATAATTCAAATAATTTTATTATTGTATAGGTGAATAGTTCGAAATTTCACTTTTTCAATTGATTCTATTAAATAAAAAATTCTGACATGAAGGTATTTGTAATTTTCCAAACTACAAGGGGCAATGCGTATTTTAAGCAAACCTTAGTAGATGTATTTGTAATTTACCCTTTTATTTTATATGGATGGCTCAAATGGGTTTTGGTATTTTTATTTGATTTCTAAAAAATTTTTCTTAGAATACAATATTCTTTCACTTATATTTTTGATTGTTATTAATTTTGCGTGGATAAATTACAAATACACCTCCTGAAATTTACTTAAAGTACAAATGGCCCCTTGTGAATTGAAAAATTACAAGTATTCCCTTATCATAATTTTTCATTTAACAGAATTAACTAAAAAAATGAAATTCATAATTGCTCTCCTATACAATAATAAATTTTCCTTTAGGATAGGATAAATATCCAAAAGGTAAATTGAACTTTTTTCTCTAATACTTTGACTCAAATTTTACTATAGTTCTTATTTTTCAATTTGAATAATTGGATCCTTACACTTTAAGTACAGTTTCAATTTAGTCCATCTGTTCAAGCTGTGTACCTCTTAAGAAACTGACAAGTATCCCAAAATTGTTAATTTTGACGTCTAACTTAAACGGAAAGACTAAGTCGAAACTAAACTTAAAATATGAGAACAAAATTGTTTAATTCAAGACAATAGGACCAAAATAAAATACTAGTCAAACTATAAAAGTTAAATTTGTAATTTATCCATATCCAAATTTTATTTTCTTTGGAGCAATATTAGGAACCTTAAATGAATTATTAAATATTTTACACAATACTCATATGAACTCATTTGAGTCACATCTCACACTTACTTGAACATTATATAAAATATTTAATAATTCATTTGATATCTAATGTTTTTGTTTTCTTTAAGACCATAGACATTGACCTGAATTTTACCCAATCCAAACTCAAATCATTGAATCCATTAAAGAAATAATCTAATGATCCAATTAAACTCGAATCCGTTTTACCTGATTATTAACAACTCAAATCATTGAATCCATTAAAAAAATCCAATCCAATAATTCAATTAAACCCGAATCCATTTGATCCTATTATTAACGGGTTGGATTCAAAGATATCCGATTGGATCTAACAAGTTTTTTTTTTTTTTTTTTTTTAAAAACAAAATTTTAATCTAATCAGGTTGCCTGCTAAAATACTTGTTATTTTATATAATGCATGAATTTTCTATCACTGGCCTCATCAAGCAATGAAACGGATTCTTTTTCGTTTTTTTCCATTGGTTTTTGGGATTTGGATTGGTTCTGGATAAATTGGATTCGGATTCAAATTCAAATGCCCCTTATTGAATTTGTCATAATCCAATCAAGGTCGGATTAAAATTATTTTATAATCAGTGGATTCAAATTATGTCAAATCCAATTCGCTGACAAACTTATAGAAAAATTTAATAACCCCTTGTGTTGCCCCCTTTTTTATTAACAACTAACCCCTACTGATATATTTTGTGTGACAAAAGAAAAGAAAAGAAAAGAAAAGAAAATAAAGGAAGATGTAAAGCATTATTCAAGTATGTATTAGCACTACAACAATTAACCCTTTTAGCAACAAAAAAAATTGGTCGCTAAAAGTCTATTTTTGGTCGGCAAAAGTTATTCGCGACCAATTTTTTTGGTCGCTAGTTTGGTCGCCAATTGAGGGTCGGCAAAAGTAATTCGCAACCAAAATTTTCATTGGTCGGCAAAAGTTGGATTTGCCGACTAATTTTTTGGTCGCTAAATATTTAATTACCGCGACTAATTCATTTTGTCGCTAAAACACTTTGGTCGCGAAAAGTCGCCTTTTGCCGACCAAATTTCTTAGTCGCCAATTGACACATTTCGCGACCAAAAAGTTTGGTCGTCAATTGTGACAGTTCGCGACCAAAAATTTTGGTCGTCAACTGTGACATTGTGCGACCAAAATTAGTTTGGTCGCCAATTGTTACTTTTCGCGACCAAAACTGTTGGTCAGCAAAAGTGCGTTTCCACGACCAACAAAATTTTTGGTCGGCAATAGATGTATTTTTTGCGACCAAAACTCTTGGTCGGCAATTGTCATTTTTCGCGAAAAAAAATAATTTATTTGTCGCGACTAATAAATTGGTCGCCAAAGCAGGAAAATAATACACCTGTAATATTTAGCGAATTCATAATCAAAATAGGACAAATTCATTATCAAAGCAAGTCTTATTATAAAATTTTCTATATCCAAGTTTCAACACATAACTCAGCAGCAACAACATTGATTCCAAAAACAAGGAACAATTCACAAAACCCTATTCTAAACCCCAAAAAATAAAAAACAATTCATTCCAACAAAAATTTAACATAATTAGCATCAATTTCAAAAAAAAAAGAACATCTGGTGTTAACAAGGTTGAGTATTGTTCAGTATTGTTGTTGTTTTTTATGTAGGGCATCCAGCTCCTTTTTGGCCTCTGCAAATCTCTCTTTGTCGTACGCGTCAACAAGGTAAACTACAGAATCCACCTACATGATGATCTAAAATTATATACTATTTGTGAACAAAATTCAATAAGCACTGTCATATAAATGAGCTGTGATTTGTCCTTTTCGTGCCTTGACAGTGAAAAAAACTAACAGCAATAACAATAACAGGATGGAAAATTAAATCGCTTTGGTCGTGTAATCAATTATGCATTGATGAAAACACTGAAGGTCAAATAAAAATCATTCACCAAAGCTTAACATGCTTTACTTACAACATTTGCAGATTTATCATTTTCCAAATATATTTCGGGATTTCACCAGAAATGTTGCAGTTTCTCAAAACCCTAAATACAAAAAAAATGAATAAAATTAAACTCAGGATGAAACTCACCAATACACACTATAAATATTGAACATTATAAATTCTTGTATCATCAAACATACAATCTTACTAGCCCTGTAGTGTTGCTCAAGGTAGGAAATTCCGCAGCCTTAAAATTTATGTCACTAATTCTCCCGGTCAAAGAGATCACACCATGAGCAATTCCATCAACAGTACGCTATCAATCAAATAAATCAACAAAATAACATTACCTCCTAAAACTACTTTGTTGCTATAAGAATGTTTTGTACTCACAATTCAGTTAATTGATTCATAAGGGATATGTTTGATGGAATGGGTCCCTCCAATCCACTTCCATGCATTTCTCTTCATTTTCCAAAATTAGAATTGAATGGTTATATACAAATAACGGAAAAACCATCACAGGATCCTCCGGCATTAAATAGTCCACCCAGTGATGAGGGCTTCCCATGCTCATGAACATGTCCAATATCGGCACAGTCGTTTCATGAAGTACAGTGGTGTTGAACAAATCCTTCAACTGCTTTCTGCAAATGAAAAGTTCATGAACACTTGCCATATTTTACAATATTGGGTCTATTTCCAATCAACTTAAGCTTTTGGGACAATTGGTGACTTGACAATAGCTTTTAAAATATCTATAAGATATATCCTTTGATGTAACATAAACTATGATTTATGAACACTTGCCATATTTTACAAGTCTTACCCCTTGAGGACTTCAGATGCTGCTGCCTGCATATTAGAAATCAAAGTGGGCATGCCGTAATTTGAAAGAAAATCAGCGCTTGCCAGAAACTGCTGCTGGTCATTTCTGTCAATTAGATCAGCCTCATCCTATAAAAACAATAATAAAAAAGGAATGAATTCAGATAAGCTACAAACAATCAGGGCCAACAGAAGAATGTCAAAAAGATGAGATGGGAGAATTGTAGGAACATAAAATTATGCTATTACATTATTGTTTTCTGTTTTATCTAATTTCATCCAAGGCTTCCAAGAACAAATTTCATCAATCTTAACTAATTTTTACAAGTAAATAACACCAGGAGCATTGATAAGTCATCTCTTAGAAATATTTCCAAAAAAAAAAACAAAACAGAATACCATAGCAATATGTGTTATAGTAAACTATTGGATAGGACTACAAAGTTTACAAGCAAAGTGAAGGCAAAACAGCTTTTCCTTGAGCTTTTAAGCTCTCTACCCCAACCAATTAATTTTTTAAAGAGTGTCATGTTAGAGAATCAAAAGCAAACAAAATATTGCTTACTCCTGTTTGGTACACCAATAAAATAAAACCAAGGGTACAAGCAAAACCAAACACAATACAACACATAAACAAGCATGTAACTTGGAAGCAAAAGCACTGATAAAAGATGGAATTCTGAAGAATATAACATCCTAATTCTAAGGCAACACCTCAAAAATGCTACTCTATTCAACAGACATGTACCCAATCAACAGACTATAATTTTGAAACTGAATTTAAGTCTCTGCCTCCCTGGAATAGCTAATAAACAGGTGCAGGAAATCCCCGAAAGCTCTGCATTCTTTGGTTTTCTAAATTAGTTAAACTTCTCCATTGTAGTTTAGGATAATGTTGATCTTTGACCACATATATATTGAATGTATTCATCTCCGTACAACGTAGAGCAAGCGGAATGTAATTTAAAGAACAACTGGCCGTTAAAGGACTACTTTCATATGTAAACTATAGAAGGGAAAGGCTTATTAATAAGTGGTTCAAACTTACCCTAATAAGGCATCTCTTAGAAATATGGAATACTAGAGAAAGATTAATATAGCAACAAAAGTATAAATGAGAAAATTTGGGTTGTACATGTTTGTTTTCTCAGTAATAAACAGGAGAAAAAGAGTAGGATCTTACAAGCAGATGAGAACTTCCAAGATCACGTGCTGTGTCAATATATAAATGTCTGCCCAATATGTTGACTTGAACTCTAATATATAAGCTAAGCATTGTCATTGCCCAAGGGGACACCACCATTCTTGTGAAACCTGCACAAACCAATAAAACAAAAGGTCAGCACAAGGTAAGCTCAATTCTAGTAACTTAACAGTTCTAAGATTTAAAGAAAGCATCACATTAACAATTCATACTTAAAATTTTGAGTTTCTCCCATAGCTCAAGTTTCCCAGAAGTCGACAGAGAGTTGGATTGACCCTTCCCTCTAATTAGCTGCTCTGTCAAGTGCAGAAGGTCTAGCTCTTCTGCCACCCGACTACTCAAATAGAGCATCGAATGAGGCAAGGTTTCCGTATCTGCTATTCTTTGAATGTTCCCAAAATGCGCTTGCATGCTATCAATATCAATGGAAAACCACATAAATCAGAAAATGAATACATTTCCACTTAAAGACAGGATTCACAACAATACCCAATAAAATAAAACGAGAGCATGACTTTTGTTCTTAACTGGGCTTTAATGAGTTCATCATTTTCCCTCTCTTAGGCAAGTTCTCTCTCCAGGTCAGAGAGCCTGCGTTTGTGAGCATCATAAAGCTTGTATAGAAGATACCCACTTCCTAAAACTCCAATTGTAAAATAAACCTTCTTTTTATGCCTTTTCCAAATCTCCCTATTACATCAAATCGATGAGAAAAAGAAAAAACAAAAACAAAAACAAAATTAATCAACAAAAAGAAAAAGAGGGTTAAACTATTGCTTATAATTACACAGTACCCACATGAAGATAAAACAAATTTAGTCATAAAAATGAGTACTTTAAAGAAATCCCAAATCATATATATATATACTAGCGTATGCCCGTGCCTGAAGGCTCGGTGTAAATAATGTTAGGATTATAATATAATTGTAATGGGACAAAGTTCAAATATGGGACAAAGTTAAAATAATTTAGACGGTCATATTCAAATAATTTGAACAAATATGTATATGAAGATGCAAAAAAAATTCGCTTATGATGTTAAAATCTCAATAACTCATAACTTTACGCTTGTTTTTCTGTTTTAGACAATTGTTTTTATTCTAAATATTTATTTATTTATTTTTGGTTTCCTGATAGAGAACATGTTTAAAATGAAATTCAGTACATATTGCTCATCCAAATAAGTAATAACCTTGCATGAGTGCAGACTCAATTGAACCCTAGATAACACTGATCAAACTATCCATATGGAATGCTTCAACATGTGGCCTTAATCAATGAGATGACATAGTAATAATATGACCCATTTCAAACATAAGAGCATTTCAAATTTATCAATCAACGTGTTATCAATTTGACTATATTATCAACTGACATTGAACATAGCTAATTGAAGACCACATGGCAATTTGACAATATGTGCATACAACATACACTCAGTTTCAAAAACTGACGGGAACAGGACCATATCCCTTTTATGCCCCACAAACAGCTGTTATCTACTGAACTGCCTTGACAATGTTGTCATGACAACCGAAGCACGTACAATAATTCAAACCAACATGATCAAATTCAAGAAAGAAATTATAGAAGACATCAATGCCATTCATATCAGAAAGTTAAGACTCAACCACAATGTGTTTTCATAATTGTCCGTTGGAACATAAATTTTTTAGGCATTTTTCAAAATTTAGATATGGTTATCCATATTTCAAAAATATAGAAAAGTCTGTTCCACTACAAGTATCTTCGGTTAAGGTTTCAAATTCTATAGCAATAACTTCAAGACCAGTTCAAACTACAAAGAACAAAAGAGGAAGACAAACGTACCGGCCAAAAAGAACCCGATCCATGTCCTGTAGCTCTGCTTCCAGGAATTGACAGCCAAGCATAAAATTTTCATTTTGAAATGAATCCTTATTTCCTGAAATTCCAAACACATTCAATTCAACATTCCTGTCATCCCCCTAAAGCTAACCATCAATGACTGTCATATCATTAATTACCCGTACGCAATAGAAAAGGTGATGAAAGTATTTTTTAGTAAGTCAAGTAAATAGTCTTAGTAGAAATTAACACTTGACATAAGAAGAGAAGGCTACTTGGTAAAAAGAGAGAAGAAAATTCATGAATAATAGTATAAATTGATAGGATAGATATGTGCAAAATAATGTGATATTAGACATTTTTATATTAAGAAGCAATTTGATACTTTTTTGTCTAAAGCATCAAGTTGCTTTAAAAAATAAAAAATATTTTTTCTATTTTTACCCATTACTTTATCAGTTGCATTGAACCATAGATCATGCCACTATGCCACGTACATTAGTATCGGTCAATTGACATCCCTAAATCTTGAAAAATCACTAATATCCCTTATTATATAGATACTTCATTGCAATTATGTATGTGTAATGGATAAATTGACCTTATTATCTTTCTTTTTAAATAAATAAATAAAATACTTCACTGCAATTAGCTAAAAGTAATTGAATTAATTTTAAAAATTCAGCCCATCTCTATATGTGTCAATTCCCGAAGATAAAATTTCTGAGCCTACTTCACCAATCACCAAATATCATTCATATTTAACCCAATCAAAATATGAAAATTCTTTGGGAGCAGAGAAAAGCAACTGCAGAAATTTAGCTATTTACATTGGGTTTTTTTTCTTCACAAAAGATTAACATGAATGCTCTAGAATTTTGGTTTATTTGGGTATCTTCAGTTGTTGATATATATCATGAACGATGTCCTTTTGTTCTAAAAAAATGTTAAATGGTAGGTAAAATTAGCGATGGCAGTAATGTAGACATGGGCATTGATTTTTATCATCAGTTCAAGGTATATGTATATATGAGAATGACTTGTTTAACATATTAAAACTTTAATGTGATTCATTTCATTTGGATAAAATTGCACTAAAAAGAGACACCATAACTGGGCCACATTAGAGCAGATCGTGATTTCGATCTGTAAGAATTCAATTTGAAGGAAAATTGTCAAAACTCGAAGAAAATTGACAGAGAAAAACCCTAAAGCATAACCTATTTCCTCCGAATGTGAAATACAACAGAGAGAGACCAAAATTACCTCGTGAAGGGAACAACCAAGGGTGGGAGAGAGGGAACCTTGCGAGTGGTGATGATGAGCAGCGGCGCAATCTGATCGCAAGAACAAACTGATTAAAGTGGAATTGAATCAGTTTCTGCAGATTGATTCACTTAAATGGGAATATGCGCAAGGTATGCCTTGTCTGCATCAGCAAGACGATCTTGGAACTGAGCCCACTCGCTTCTGCACCTATCTCTCACCTATAATTGAATTAACAATAAATTAAACTTAATTAAGAGAATTTGGTTCATTAATTTGTGCCACTCAAAAATATTCCTTCAATTTAAAACAAAAGAATTAACACGGACTAAAAGAAAAAGACTCTGAACGGCTGCAAATAATCAGTGTGCATATACATACCCCCTGCCTTGGAGGTTTACCATTCTCGGTCTGGCCCTGAATTTCACAGAAACATTCAGATTCATGAGTTCCAATTGCAGAGTATATAAATGAACCACTAAGTTCTGATCTTCCTATACAAATTTCTGAAAGGGAGAGCGTTTTAGAAGTAAACCCAAATTGACTACCAGAGTGATCTTAATACAATCTCTGCCAATTTATTTTTCTAGGTTTTCTTTCTGAAAACCCCCAAAACGAGAAAAGAATTCGGAGGAAATGGTGGGGCAAAAAAAGGCAAAAGGGATGTAAGGGAAAGGAAAGAAGAATTGAAATCAAAGAGCGAGAAGGGAAGAGGTAGAAAAAGGGAGAACTTACCTTGCGATGAAGAAGAAGAACGGGAGGGAGAGGGAACTTGGCACACTGGGTATGGAAGAAGAAGAACGGGAGGGAGAGAAAGATAAAGAGGGAATGG